TTATTTTACAGTTAAAATATATGTTTATCATATAAAGTCTAATGTTACAACTAATCAGGGGATCCCTTTAAAAATGGATTTCACTCAATCAGTCAGAACTACAACAATGCTAACTTCCAGCTACTACCACACCTAATTTAAGCCTAATAACTGCAAAATTGACTGATTTGTTTCCTTTTTTTTTTCTGTTTTCTAACGTCACAGATGTGGCTGCTTTCTGAGGGTTTCTTTGAAATCCGTTTTATTGTTCATGAGATATTTTGCAAACACACACAGAGATGGGCCACAATGATCACAATCGTAATAAATCGTATTAAACACACGGCTGATGTTTAGATAAATTATCTTCTCCCAGACCAGGTTCAACTAGAAACAAACATAACTTTGTGAGACTTAGAGGGGAAACAAAAGGAGTCTAACTAAACTCATTCTGCTACCAACAGCTTCATTAACAGCTCAGGTTTGTGTTTAATATAAACACATAAAAAAATTACAGGAATCATTACAGGAAGTCCTGAGGAGCTGATAAAGGGGATAAAAAAAACAACACTGCCCCCTAGTGGTTTCTGCAGAAACATGCAGCGACTGGAGAGGAGTTTGAAGGAAAAAGCACAGCCTCAGGCAGCACTTAGCTGCAGATAATTCCTACAYGTTTCTTTGATTCACCTCCCGACAGACGATGTACAAATCGACCTCAGTGATGATGGGATGTTTGGAAACTGTGGCGAGGACATGTTCGGAGGGCATGCATGTTCTCAATACTCACTGTAAATTCTTGTTAAGCGCTCTCTAATTTTCTTTTTTGTCTTTTTTTCCTCCGTCAGGAATGGTGTGAGTTCACCAGGCTGCATCCACCACATCTGATGGCAAAAAAAAAATAATAATAATAAAATATTCAGTAAAAAAACGCTAACGTCTCACAAGACAAACATTTATTTGCATGCCATAAAGTCAAAAGCTTAAGTTAACCTTAACTTTGCTTTAAATGACCCAGCTTTACTTCAACATCTATGACTGCTGGTGAAAGACACCAGCTTCCTGTGACTTAGAAAGAAGAAGCAGGAACTAAAACTGGAAGGAAAGATGCATTTCTACACCTATACAAACTATAAAATAACAAAAATAAGTTTTCCAAAGCTTGTGAAAGGAATAATCACATATAAGGACAGATTTATTTTACAAAAGAATCTGCTTCTTTTTTGTTTTTGTTGTTTTAGAAAATGGAAACTAGAATGGCAACAATTTGATTTACAAGTATTTAGATAATATAAAAAGAAAAACTACTAAACTTGGCAGGCATCTGCGAAAAGGTTTGGAGTAATTAATATTCTAGCTGTTGAAGATAATTCATTTAACAGCATCTGTAAAGAGAATGAGTTAATGAGCTAATTGAGGAGCTAACCGCTAATCCAAGTGAAGCAGAGTGGATGGCTGCCATCGTGAAACAACTCCATTCGCAAAACATTTAACGCATTTTATGCAAGTGCTGTTTTATAAGCCTATAAACTGCTGTCACCTGAATGTTGCATGCTTACTATTGCAAATAATGACAGTATTTATTAGTATATAATTATTTAATGAAAAACTGATGATGAGGTAAAGTTTTATAAAACAAACTTTGCAAAAATGCTATGAAATTTATGAGCCTGGAAGTTGATTCTGGTCAGTTGAAATCTGCTTTGGTCTTGGTTGCATTCAGACAAGTCCTTAGCTTACATTTCTCAGACAAATCAGAGAAGATGGTTTAATGAAACCTTTAAGAAATAGTCACTGGATTAGAGCTGGGCGGTATGACCAAAATTTTATATCACGGTATTTTCAGCATTTACACAGGTTTCACGGTATATCACGGTACTTTTCTTTTCATCACAGGCCAGCTGATAATAAAGTGTACAAAAACTGCTTATTAACTTTTTTTTCTTACTGTACCTCTGTCTGTGTCTCTGTTTCCCTCCTCTACATGTCTTTTCTCTGACTGGTGGTTGGAGACAGTAGTCACGCATTTTGGTCCGGTCGTGAAGGAGGAGGGTTAAGAAAAGATTATGGTCGGGTTTATTGTTTTAAGTTATTTAATAAAACTTATCAGCATGACTCACCTTGCACACCAGTCAACTCAATTCCACTACAAATCTACTTCCCCCGGGCTTTTCACAATAGAAGCTCGCTAAAGTCTCCACGTCTCCATATTAAAGTCGCGTGTTTAATCTAACCATGCACATCACTGAAGAGGTGTTTACTACATTCAGCGAAAACGGGATGTTTTTTAACGTCAGTCGATATGAGCAGCGGAATCGCCACCCGCCATTGCAACAAGCTGCTCAACGATAACATCAGCATGCTAACGCACATAGCGGTGCTGCGAAGAAAAGTGTCCCCCGGGAAACAGTTCACTGGTGGCCGCGACGAAACGTTCCGCACATGTTCAGGCTATTTAAACCGGTATGTCGGTATTAAGAAAATTCATATCATAAAAATAAAAAATGGTATTCGGTATGAACCGGTATACCGCCCAGCATTACACTGGATGCACATCTACAACTGAATATAATGTGGTACAGATAGTGGTCTAAAACTAGTGTGGTAGTAGAGGAGTCATTCACAAGAGTTACTCGTTGCACAAAATCATTGCTTAAAACTACCATGAAGTCAAAAGAAAAAAAATTCTACAGGTCTTCTGGACGGGTTCTTCKCTAATGAAACGTTTCGTCTCTCCTCCAAGAGACTTCYTCAGTCTGAGAGTTTCAGGCWAAATTCAGKCTTTTAAGCACTGCCTCCATGTGACTGATACATCGCATGGCTATCGTTGACACCTAATTAACAC